AAAAAATCTTATTTAATTTAATAATAAAATTTGAGCCAATCAAAATTAATCACCTCATTGATAATTAGGAAATGATCGAATTTTAAATTTCAAAATTTGAAATCTCAAAATTTTTAATTTGGGGCAAATCTTTAAATAAACCAATTTTATCAATGAGTACATATTGATAAATAAAAAAAAAAGAAAATTTACATATTAGCTTTACATTTCAAAACACACGTAATAATTATAATTAATGGTCATATAGTCAATTAAATGGTCTTCAAAAATTAAATTACAATATATATAATATTAATATATATATAACATTAATAGAATGATAAATAATAAAAGATTTCCTTTCAAAAGGCACTAATCTTTCCAAACTATTTACATTATTAAGTTATTATAGTAAAACTTCTAAACATTAACTTCTATACGATGTATATCTCTGTGAAAATATTATTAAAAGTAGTAAATTAACGAGAAACTTTATATTTTTCAAGCTCCGCAGCCAGTTCTGTTATTTGATTACGATATGCATCTTTCATATCCTCAATATCTGCTTGTAATTCTTCCACTTTTTCTGTCTTTTCTCCAAGTAATTCTAATGTTATTTGATATCTAAATAAAAGAGAAACAATTGTTAAATATAAAGTTTAGATAATAAGCGCATGATAATTGAACGTACCTTTCATTTAACTCATGGAATTGTAGCTCCAGCTCTAGAAGCCTCCTTGTTTTTATAGAACTAAATTATAATAAAATGTTTTTTGATCACTAATTTTGAAATATAATAATAATAATAAATAATAATAACAATGATTCACTTACAGATCTTCCATTTGAACAGTTAATTTGACTAATTCATCTGATAATTCATCTAATGTTATACAAACCTGTTATTAATAAATATTCTAAAACAACTTATTTTGATATGTACGCACGTTATTAGGAAAAGCAATACGATCCACATTATAATTACCTCTATTTTTTGTAGCCATGTGTAATTGAGCTTGTAGAGTACTAACTTGTCCTTCCAAATATCTTACTGAAGAATTTAATTTTTCAATCATCAAAACACTGCTTATGACACTACTTCCCCCATCGCTACTTAACCTTGTACTTGATGTTGGACTATACATTACAGGTGATAATATTCCTCCATCGTAATTTCTCACCAAATGTGTCTCACTTCTTGATCTCAATGATCCCAAATTTGTATCCCCAGATGGCCTCAATGAATCTAATTTAGCTCTACGATTTTCTTGTTCGTGTTCTTTAATAAGTTTATTCTCTTGCTCAGAACGCACTTTCTGTTCCCATTCCTCCTGCTTTTCTTCCAATGTTTGTCGTAACATACGATGATACTGTTCTTCTGCTTCCTGTAATGCTATTTTATGAGTTGTTTTGTAGGATTCAAGTTCTAAAACCAAATCCTCAATTTTGGCTTCTAAATTTGGAATTCGTGCACGCAATGAAGTGATTTCCTCGTTTAATTTTGTGTTTTGATTACGTTCAATTATCAACTGAAGTTCTTGTTGTTCCATAGTTGTTGACTTATTTATATGACAAATTTAAAAGTATATCAATGTGGAGTTGTGTAATAGTAAAATTTTAAGTTAAAAATAGGTTACCATTTCTGTAAGCTGATTATTTAAATTTTCATATTTCCCGGCAAACCGATCTCTCTCCGTTTCCATTTCAATAAGTTGCTTAGAAAGCCTTTAAAAAGGAAATATACACATATATGTTTAGAAAAAAAATCTTTTAATTCTATTTATTTTAGTACGATTTTTACCTATTTTCAATCCTTTCCCAATTCTTCACAGACAGAGCATGTTGTGTTTGTACGTCTTCTATTCGTCGAAGTATCTGAATACGCTCTATCTCCCATTCTTCAGATGTTACATCTTGTGCTGCTGCCTCAGCAATTTGCATTCGTTGTTGCAAAGCCTATAAATGTTAAATTTTCTCAGCATATAAATTGAAGCAAACATATTAAGGTTTACTATCATACCAAAATTTCATGACGTAAATTGTCTTCTCTTAAACCAGCCTGTTCTTCGATTCGGGCAAGAGTTGTTCTCAACTCGCGAATCTGTGATAAAATAAATTTTATTAAGAACTTGTTGAATAAATTACAAATGATGAAGCATACAAACCTCTAACCGTAAAGCACTTTCTGTATTTTCTGATTCAGTAGATAACTGTTCCAGCTCATGATGAAGTCTTTCATTAATTTGAATCTATGAAAAAGAAATTAAAAGATATTTAAAAATAATTCGATTATTTATAAATCAAATTTTAAGTGAAATAATATCTCTACCTCCTTTTCCAAAGCTGCAGCTTGTACTTGGGAAGATGAAGTAGCATTGATCTCGAGTGCTTCTTTAAGTTCCGCATTTGTCCGATCTAAAAGACGCTTTAAAAATATTTAAAAAAATTTTATATATTAAGAAACAATATCCCTTGAAAAAATCCATAAAGCATACTTGTAATTTATCTCGCTCTTCTCTTGCTACAGCAATATCTATCTCTAATTTCAAATTTTGCTGTATCTTCTTTTCTTGTTCACTTTCAATCCTCTTCAAGTTATAACCATTCTTTTTTTCAATTTCTTGTATTTGTTTTAATTTAGCTGACAATTCGGTTATCTCTGAAACGGCCTTATCATATTTCTTTTGAAGATCAATCAATCGATTTTCCTGCTCAATATCTTTTGCTCGATATTTTTTTAAGCTTGTACGATATTCAAGTTCATTTTTTGATAATTTTTTGCCTTGATAATGTGAAAAAATTGTCGATAATTATTGAAAATTACAATAAAATTAATGATTAAAAAAATTATTTACCTTCAGATAAAAGCCCAGAAATTTGATCATCTTTCTCTAATAATAATTTTCTCTGCAATTCAAGTATGTTTTGAATAGAAGAATCCTCTTTACTCGCTTCTTGTTGTCTAAACATATCTAATTCCTAAATAAATTATTAATGTAAATAGATCCGACATAATCCAATTCGATAAATAAAGCTTATATATAAAGTATAAAAACCTTATTTGCTGTCTTCAATTGATTTTCCAAACCTTCTATATGATTTTTTGTAATTTTCGATTCTTCAAACTTGTTTTCCTCCAACTCTTGTAATTGTAATCTGAGCTTTTCTACCGTATCATTTAATAATGCATTTTGCTCTGTGGCATTCATAAGCTGACGTTCTCTTTGTTCAATAATCAAATGAAAATCTTCAGAAGATTCACGAAATTCAGCAATCGATGATGTTTTACCGTCTACCATATCGATCACTTGAGAATCTTCATTTGAAGGTTTTTCATGAAATTCTTTATCGTCTTCTTTCAAACTACTTTCATCAACTTTAGAATCCGTATCAGATTCCTTCTGCCCATCTGTTTCACATTTACTATTCAAATGATTTCCAGGTATTGAACTATCTGTTGAACGTTTATTGTACACATTTCCATTCTCATTTTGATTTATTTCCTTCGTACTTGATGGAACATAAACATTTAAATTACTATTTATAGAATGTATGTCTACTTTTATTTCATTATTTTCATTGTCATTATATTGTTCTTCCTTTGAAACCGAGAAAGAATGATTATCCTTGCCAGCAAGGTCTCTTGTATTTACTTCGATATTTGATGTCGAATCCTTCCTAGATGAATCATCAAGGACATTCAAATCACTTTCCAATGACGTTCTTTGTGAAGAAGAAAGTCGAGATTCTTCTTGTAGTGAGGATCGAGGTGATCCCGTTTGTGATGACACATATGTTGATATATTTCTATCGATATCATTTGAACCGCGTGATGTGCGAATATTGGCAAGTAAATCGCTACTTTTAGATTTTAAAGATTGTGAGAGATTTTGGACTTGACGACTCGAAAGAGAATTCTGAAGACTGGAAGCTGAAATATTTCCCAACACTGTACCAAATAAATCACTTGAATTGGATCGTGGACCCAATTTAGGTGATGGTTTATTTGGCGTTGGCGTTGGAGAAGCCGACTGTTTGTTAGTAGTTGAAAGATTTGGTGATTTCGGACGTGTAACGCCTATAGGAGGATCAATTGTGGTAACAAACCCGGTTATTGGGTCCACGTAGACCTCCCCCTGAAAAGAATTATCTAATATAAAGACATAAAATCAATTTTCTAAAAAGTAATAAAAATTTTAAAGTAATCGAATACCTCCTACCTTCACCAATGTCAAGAGCTTTATCAAGTTTGCTCTCAAAATTATTCACTGCTTGTTTTATCATACTTCCCCAAGACGACCCACCCGAACCACTTTTATTATTAAAGAAACTCATTCTTTTGAGTAGGTTGGGTTTAGTGCTCTTTAAAAAATATATATATATATAATTGAGGACTTGCTACACATTTCCAAATAAGGTTAATTTGACAACTTGTCAAATTTTGTTAGATCAACATGATTTACTGCGTCAGATCAAAAAAAAATATAAAAGGGGTATTTTATTTAATTACCTGATCTTTTCAATTTTTTTATTATTTTAATGTCTAATAATCCTAATAATCGTTTTATGAATCATCCTTCAGGAACATATTGGCGACAAGTTCCTATACAGCCACCAGCACCAAGTGATCCCCGAGTTGCAAACCAGTTTCAAAACATTTTTTCTTCCCACGAGAGTGATGATAGTGATAATGATACACCAAGACATAATGTAATATTTGATAGTTCGACGAATTCTCCTGAAAGCAGTACTCAAGAAGGTTCTCCAAGAACAACACCTGAACAATCTTCCGCAATGCGAATGCGAATGGTTTCACATATAGTTCCCCCTGTAGCAGAAGAAGAAGATGATGATGATCATCATGACAATGGAATGAATTCTGCAGGTTTTTCTCATGAAATATTCAAAGATATAAAAACATTGTCAAATCATTTATATAAAGACTCACAAAGTAATGATATTATTGCTTAGATGCATTTATTGCTGAATTTCTTAATTTAGATGGTGCAGATGATCAGAGTAATGATGTGGAAGAAGTTCCAGTAACAACTCTTGATGAAACGAATAATGAAAATGAAATGAATGATGAAAATATACCTCAGAGTACAGTACAAGAAGATCAATCAAATGGTAAAAAAGATTAAAAAAAAAAATAATTTTGTGTTCCAATTTTTAATAAATTAAGTTAGTTATTTGACGAATTTTCATAAAAAAAAAAGAACGTTTGAGATTTTACTTGGCAGTTTTACGACAAAGAGTACGCGAATTGGACTCTGACGCATGGATGTATGTAAAAGTGAATAATGAATTTTCAAAATTCTAAGATAAAATTACGAAGAAATTTAGGTAACTAGTCGCTCTTATTTAAAGAGATTATAATAAGACCTCATTAGAACAACTTATATAATTTACCTTTTAAGCTTTAGTATATTAATAAATGAAATATCTTATTACATTCAACATTAATTTACATCTTGAAATCTTTAAACAGCGAGTTTCACATATATCAATTTTGGAAGGGTTTTATACATTCCGTGTAGGTTTGATTCAAAACAAAGGTGCATTTTCCAGCTTATTTAATTTTTTTTTCTATTATATATTGTAAATTTAATTATTAAAAATTTTTTTAACATATTATCTTGTAAAATAATCATAGAAAAAAAGTCGATATTATTTATCCCCAAATATATTTGTATTTAACTTCAAGTTATGATTAGAAAATTATTCAGGTACACATGAATTATTTGATATATTTTTACGCTTAATCATTTTTCATTATGATTTCTGATGAACCGTAACTTTTTTCAATTATCATTGGTTAAATAGATTTATTTATTAAAAAATATGTTTATTTTGAGTTTTGGTGATATGTAGAATACCTTTCTAAGCAAATTCTTCTTTTGTTAAATCCATGCAAATTCAAATTTCATAATTGAGTATAACGAAGTTATTAATCACGTTGAAAAATTCACAGTTTTAATAAATATTTCTAATTTTATTTATTAAAGAATAGGATAGACTATCTATATACAATTTTACGTGATCAGGTGAATATCAATAAATAATAAAAAAAAATTGTTTTAATATGAAAGAATGCAAAAAAGTTATTTTTTTTATGAAGAAATGCACAACAATTACTAAAATTGTAAAGATAAAAATTTAAAGAACAAAAGCATTTATAAAAATGTCGTTAAACAAATTATTCATTTCCATAATGTCGCCCGCTCCTCTTATCTTCAGAATCCTTATAATAATAAGTACTTTCAAATTCGGCAGCGTCTACCAATTTTTTTGCTTGTTCTTCAGCTGTTTGTATCAACCTGTGCAAATTTTCCATTTGTTCATATAGACCCTGTGAAGAAATTGGTCTTGGTTGTGAACCACTACTACTATCATGTGGTGGAGTCGAATGAACCTTAGATGATATCGGTTCTGATGTTGATGTGTAAAATGAACCGTCCTTTCTATCGATTTCTTCATACATGTTTGATTTTTCTTGTAACCATTTCCAAAGAGTGTCGTCTTCATTTTCAATACGCCCATCAAATAATGGCATGTGTCCATTATGTTTACGAGATTCATATAAAAAATCACCACCTCTCCCGCTGTAACCGAAACGAGGTTGACTACTATCTAAACTATCAAGCCTATGTCCAATGTCTCGAAGCGCTAACCAATTGTTAAAATTACTAACTACTAGCATAAATAGTATTAACAATATTATTATATTTTTAAAGGGTATTGTGGTAATTTGAATCAATGAAGTAATGATCGAAGACATTATATTTGGAATATCTTTCACATGTTGTTGCACTATCACTGGATCAGTTTCTTGTGAATCTAGTACTTCTTCTGCCGTAGGCGATGGTCGTAAACGAGTGTGCGTTTTCTTTAGAGGTGTTGCCTTTTCACTTGCTACTTCAGAATCAATGTCGTCTTCTTCTTGAACTGTAGTTCCTGATTGATCTATAAACTCTGAGAGGTGAGCTGCAATATATTTCTTTGCAACTTGTGAAACGTTCTTCCAATGCGATCGTTGTCCTTCAATGCAAGCCTTTTCAATCGGTCCTATTATATCGGTTCGTTAATAATTTTAAATAGCTTTATTGAAGCATAAATAAATGACTTTTATTTTATCGTTACCTTTCAGCCAGCTTGACTTTGACCATTCTATAGCACAAGTAACGATTATTCTGGATTCATTTGTGCCTGCCCACATGATACATGTTCTAGTCTTTATACAAAAACTGTTTCCAGATGGCACATCAGGTGTCGTAGTGGTAGATACATTAGTAATATAATCATCAAAATGTGAACATTCATCTTTAATGATGCATTTAGTACTCTTGGGACCTAAAATAACAATAAAATTTTAAATATTTCATTATTATTAATATTGAAAAATAAATAATAATAATTGTTCGTTCGCATATTAAATTTCGTTACCTATGGAATTATTTAATGGTTTTATAAAACTCTGCGCTCTTGTCCATTTATTATTTTCAACTTTCCATTCTTCAATCTCAACATCTTTTTTTAAATTAAAAATATTCCAAAAGTTTAAGAATTAAATAATTTAGTATTAAAAAAAAAAAAAAATAAAATAAAATAAAAATTAAAAATAATAAGCTTTTACATTATGTCATACCTATGCACTTATCTTCTTCGATAATGTAATTTTTAACTAAATCACTCTTGAAAAGCAAGTTAAAGATTATTTCCACGCCACCGTTAAGTTTTGTATCCAATGACACATTATCATAATGTTGACCCTTTTTTAAACAATCACATTGAGTGGGTCGACGTCTTTTAACACTATTGCTGGCTATATGGCGAGACTGATTTCGAGATGGTGAACGAACTTTTCCTGAATGTTTAGAATCAGAACCATTTGTGTCAGGTAATTTTAACTCAGCATCAGACTTTGATCTAGTACGACGTTTCCTTTGTTCTTTGGCCGCGCTAGAATTATCAAAATCAAGAACTTTTGGTGAAGGGGGTAAGGATTGAATTTCACTATCCAATTTTTCTTGATTTAACGCATTATCATCGTCCGAAGACGAAGCAACTCCACGCATTAATCTCATCGGATCAAGTGTTAATTTTGGTAAAGCAAACTTTTTACGAAGACCCCCTTGTGACTTTCCTGCATATACAGCATGATGTTAAAATAATTCAAAATCTAGTTGTACGCGATTGCCCATTCCCAAAAGGGTTCTTTGCTATTATCCATTTTTTATTATGTTATCTGAATAAAAAAATATTATACCTTCATCATCACTAGTTATAGAATTATTATTCTCTGATGTTTCTGAAGCATCAGAGTCTTTACGACTCGTGGCATATTCAGATTCTGTCAAGGTGAGAGCCGGATGTGACTGCTTCCAAATCGTATACAATAATTCGTAGGCAGGATCTCTTGAAAGGAATGATGTAAAGAAATGCTAACGTGATTTGAAATAATGATTAGTAAGTTTATGTATCACAAACGCAACTGATATCAAAACTTACTTTAGCGTGCAGTGTAGATATTAAAACAGCATTAGGAATAACAAATGCGGTCATCTTTTTCTCAATTAATAAGATATCCGAGAATGCAATTACCAGCTGCAACAAAAATTAATAATAGAATTAAGTACCTATATAACATCAACTATAACAATATAATAATTCCTATTTACATACAATTGTGACCCATCCAAAAATATTTGCATAGAAACAAACATGATTTGCAGAAACATATAATCGTCCCTGGACAAGAATTTCTTTCTGCAGAGCACACCCATAATCTTTATATAATATACATGAATGATATTAGTGTGAACCAAAAAAAAAAAATAATAATAATAATTATAATTCTAAGTACCATTTATAAGGTAATCCTCCTCTGGAACACTTCTGAATAAAGAATGAAATTCCGCATTTTTTCTTGGAGTAGCAGGAGCAAAACTACCTACTACTGGTGGAGATTCAGCTAATGAACCATCATCTAAGATACTTTCGTTAGCTCCTTGACGATTTTTCTTTTTTGTTAATTTTGAAGTAGATTTTGTGGGTAAACGAAATGTCTTTCTTGAATCATTATTTGAATCACTATGATCGTTCACAGTAATTTGAGCCGGAGGTATTTGAGAAGAAATATCACCGACTATAGGAGTAGAAGAGAGTTCGTCGTCAGGTTTATCAAAATGTTCAATTTTCAAGGAACTTCCAGAATCGCTAGGTGAAAAAGAGGGTTTAAATACGACTTGTGTGTTGTCCACATCAGTCGTTGGTTCTGTTGTTCCTGTCAGGTTTTCTCGCAACAATGTAGACGGCTCAGCGTCCACATCAAATTTTAGTTGTTTTTCTTCTTTTGGGGTTGATATTGAGATACTTAAAGGAGGAGTAGGAAGTGAAGAATTAACACTGGCCTCGTCAAGCTTTGTATTACCTAAATCTATTTTATCACGGAATGTACTTTGTGGAGAATCGGTTGTTCCTTCTTTAGATTGTTCACTATCTGAGGTATTCCTAGAAAAGGAATCCCTTATAGTTGAAGGCAAAGCGGATAAAGAAGAAGTTGCAACTGATAGCATTTAGGCTGAGGTAAAAAAAGACAAGTGGCAGAAAAATTTGGGCAAAAAAAGTCGTAGACAAGACCAGTTGTAGACGGTTTTTATGAAAAGCTTTGATCGGAAATTTTTTTTAAATAATTGCACATGTCGATCCTAAAAGCATATTTGAGCAACGGAATAATGTAGTAATAATGATGCTAAAAACATTATAACATTTGTATTACAGTTCAGCCCTATTAACATTCTTTCACGTGACACTACTGCAGATGTCATTGCTCTCTCATTGACTACACATTTATTTGTAATATTTGTTAAAAAAAAAGAACGCCTTTCAAAAAAGTAATACGATTATAACGTTCGATCATGATTTTCTAATACAAGAAAGATAGATTAAATTACAAAAATAAATGGATTCGCTCGTTATGAAAGGGAGCATTGCTTGTGACGCGAGTGTGAACGGAACAAAGAGGTTTTCATTTGCTTTGTGTTACTATCATTTAATATGTATTTCTTGATGCTTAAAAAAAAATAAGTAATCCTGTTCTACGGTTTATCTTTGTAGTATATAATAGTTATTTGACATGAATCTTTCCTTGATTATATTGGTTCAATATCTTTATAACGAAATAGTAACAATATTAGATAATCTGAGCTTTTTTTTTATTTGCCTTAATACTGAACTTTGCCGTGTTCGACATTAACGTTAATTAGATTATCTCCAATTATCCTATATTAGGAAGCACGAATTAAATAAATTGATTCGATAACCAAAAATTGCAAAATTAAGTGTTATAACTGACATTCTTGGCAGAAAAATATCCACTTTGAACGTTGTCAGAGAGATTATTTTCAATCCTGTGTAATCACTCTCCAACGATTGAATTTTCGGCTGTAGTGATTGTAATTGTTCGATCATCATAATCGATATCAATTTGTATTTGATCTTTTCGTTGAATTCTGGTGTGTGTATTTTAATTATGTAAATCTATTGCTAAAAGATTTAGTTGTGTTAATATCAAATAATACAAGTTAATAACTAACACAAATCCTTCATTGTCGTCATATAACGCATATGGGTCATGGACTAGCAAAATGCCCCTCCGAGCCTTTTGTCAAAAATATTTTTTTTATGATTTTATATAAGCTGAATATGCTTAACTATATGATAATCTAATTTTTTGAACATAAACGTATAATAAATTATCGAAATATTCATATAAAACTTTCTTTTTCAAAAAAGATCGACAATCTAAAATTGGAATAATATGCATTTTTAATGTTTAAGGAGACATAAAATATAAAAATTTGTATCACATTACATATAAATTGATCATCATATTGCATTTTGTTCTAAAAATAAACTGTAAACAATGAAAATGATAAAATGTTAAATTCTGATTTCTCAAAAAAGCAATAATTTACCGGAGGGAGTCCATGACCCATATTGGAACGTTTGTGACGAAGACTGTTTTATATCGGTTTGTGAAGAAAAACCAGTAGGAGATGAGGCAAAGGATTAGTAATTGTAGATAGAGGAGGTAGAGGATTTATTGGTTTAGGCTCCTAAGAAAACAGAGATAAGTAGAATTTTAAAGTGTATATAATAATGTAATCAGTTTATCTGAAAAAAAAAAAAAAACATACAATAATAATAATCTCTTGGACTTAAAAATAAGGGAACGTTTCAAGTCATGACAGATAGTAAATCATATGAGACCTTTGCAATAGAAAAAAAGAAACTGCTGGGAAAAATAAAAAAATGAGTTAATGCTAAATTTGAATATATTTTCCTAAAATCATATTTGGTATATAAAAGTCCTTTTCTATTGCAAAGGTCCCATATGATCCGTAATGTGGAAACGCTCGCAGCAGAAAATCTGATTACACAGTCATATGGTCCTGTAAAAAGTTTATCTTTCATTTCGAAAAAAATTTTAATGCATCATAGCGTGCACCAAAAACGTACATGCCCTCAACCATCTTTTTGTTTTTTATTAACATGTTCGAGATAGCTTTCCTTAACCACGATTCTATAAGTTCACGAGTTATATCCTGTTATGAGAACAGATAATTCTTGTTTTCCCACAACATATTCATTTCTTGGTGAAATTAAAGTAGAAGTCATTTTTTTATGAATAAAAATTTACGCGATACTAATTTTTTTATTTAAAA